GCTCTTAATTAGGACCCTCTATTGTTCAACGTTTCCCCTCCTGTGCACTCCTCTCTTCTCTGGAGGGGCTGCTGGGGATTCCTCGTGACAGTACTTATTACAGTCCCCATTACCTGGAGGTTACATTCATGTGTGCTCACAATGGTGAAGCAGCTTAGCCAAGCATGTGGTATGTATTATTCTTAATCCCATTTTGCTGAGGAAGAGATTGAGACTCAGTTCATGACAGGGCTTACTGCATTGCACAAAAGTTGCCTAAATCACCAAAATAAGCAGGCGCGGTTCCAGGGAGGAGAGCTGAGGAGACTGGGTTGCTGGCTTTGTGAACGCAGCGCTGTGACTTGCCTACGGACTAATGACTTTCCTCTCAACAGGACTGCACATATCCAGTCAGCCTCCCAATCTAAAATGTCACACTCAAGGTTCCCTCTCATCCCGTAAAGCTGCTTCTGCACACCCACCAGGAACCGATGCTGCTGAAAATATCATACCTCATTATCAAAGGCATAAGCCCTTAGTCCAGGAATTTCAAATATTTTAGCAGATAAGCAGTGGTATTTTGGAGACTATTAATCATGAAACTAAACGTCCTGACCAAATCCTATATCTGGTCAATGTTTCTAGAAGCCACCGGGCTGGGTTTCAAGTGAAGTAAGACTTAGTAATTTACAATCGCAAATGCAGCATCTGCTGTTCAAATGGGTGGGTTTTTTGCCAGAGGACATTCCATGTATTTAGTGATATAAGATCCTAGTCCACTGTTAGCCACTTATTTAATTTCTACACTCCTTTTCATCTGTTCATCCTCAGAAGAATCGGAAATTTCCCCAGCAGTTGTGGAACTGGGGTCATTCAAGCGGTGCCCACCAAGTGCCAAGTCCAGTCTAGCTACAGGACTTAGTCCCTGCACGCTCCCGAATTCAAATTCCACCCGGCACACTTATGCGCGTGCTTATCTTGTAGGACTTACACCGATCCATGGGAGGGACAGAGTTTAAGTCACGGATGGGAAAGCTCTCTCTAAAGAGTATGCATCCCAACTTCAAAAATAGAAACAGAGTTACACTGTACCTTTTTTCCTCAGAAACGTTGAAGTTTAAACAAAATGAATCTTTAGTATTTTAAAAATTGACCTGGGCCAGGCACGGTGGCTCATGCCTGTAATCACAGCACTTTGGGAGACGGAGGTGGGCAGCTTACCTAAGTCTTGGAGTTTGAGACCAGCCTGGCCAACATGGTGAAACCCTGTCTCTACTAAAAACACAAAAATTAGCTGGGCATCGTGGCACACGCCTGTCCTTCTAGCTACTTGGGAGGCTGAGGCAGGGGAATTGCTTGAACCCAGGAGGTGGAGGTTGCAGTGAGCCAAGATCATGCCACCGCACTCCAGGCTGGGTGACAGAGCATGACTCTGTCTCAAAAAAAGAAAAAAAAAAAAAATTGACCCTTCGTCAGAATTTTAAGTCAATTTTTGATTTAATATTATGTTTATGATCTTGTGGAGAAATGTTTAAAATAGAAACAATATAAAACGCCAAAAATAATAAAAGGAAATCCACACTTCATTGATTTCATTGATATAAATACGTTTTCAATTTTAGGATACAATTGCCAATTCCTGATCCCCAGTCAAAAAGATTAAGTAGATCCAGATGTCACAGATATGAATCCACATGTTTATATCACATCTTGAAAACAATCATTATTTTAATCCTACCAAGGTATAAGTTGCTGTATTAGTGAGGGAGAGAGACTAGTTTTGTGTAGAAAGACAGCAGTGAAGATGGCAATGAAACACATGTCCATGAGGTATCTTGAATTTGTATTGACTGTCCCCAAATCTTAATGTTTTCAGCTTATTGAGGAAATTTTCCTAGTACATACCCTTCTCCTGGCATAAAGTTTTCCTGGAGAGTCTGCAATTTTTAGGTAACAAAGAATATTAATAATAAAAAAGGAACTTTCTACTGATCTCAAGTTTGTGTTAATACAATGTTCAGTCTAACTCCAAACTCATTCCCTAGCAAAACCTTCTTTAAAACATGTGGGTCTCCCTGCCCTCGTCATTTGGATTTTTCCCCCTTATCATTGCCATCTCTCTGTAACATCTGTCTCCCCTTTGATTGCCAATGTGAATTTCCATGGTCTGGCTGGTTTCTTCCTCTCTTGCATATTTCTGAGTACCTGTTTCTCTTCTCACCCAAAGAGGTATAACTCTATAAGGACAAAAGTTATGGGAACTATATTTTCAAACCTAAAATCACAATATCCTTAGCATGAGAAGTATGCCTGTACTTAAACATACAATGGGGCAAAACATTTGAACTGTCTGAAACACCTAGGATGCCTGGTCATCAGCCTGAAGAAGACAGATGGCAGACATTAGATGTCTTTCTAACACCTTCTTGTCTAGAGCACTGTATCTTCAAGTAATTGTTACACTTGAATGAGTGGCTGAGAATTTAAAGGTATTTATCATTGGTGAGGCTTTTGAACTTATGTTGAACATTCAAATTTTGACTCTCTCTATATATATACACATATAATTTATTTTTTTTAGAGTCTCACTCTGTCACCAGGCTGGAGTGCAGTGGCACGATCTTGACTCACTGCAACCTCCGCCTCCCAGATTCCAGTGATTCTCCTGCCTTAGCCTCCCAAGTAGCTGGGATTACAGGTGCACACCACCACACCTAGCTAATTTTTGTGTTTTTGGTAGAAACAAGATTTTGCCATGTTGGCCAGGCTGGTCTCGAACTACTGGCCTCAAGTGATCCACCTGCCTTGGCGTTCAAAGTGCCAACATTTATATTCTTAACAGTCTATTTCTAGAGCCACAATGCCCAGTCAACGTTTATACTCTTAACAGTCTATTTCTATAAGCATACAGATTTAGCCTTCTCTGTTGGTGTTATCATGTTCAGTCAGTGGAAACTGTGCAGAACCCCTGGGACTGGGAACTGAAAGAGCCAACGACAGAATAGAGACTGGGACAGAGTAAGATAGCCCTTCTCTCCTCATTTGGGTCTGCTCATTGAACCTCGATCTAAAGTGGAATGGAAAAAGACTGCTGGTTCCCATTTCACTAAGAGTCAGCCTCCTGGTGCAGAGTCTATTTGGAAGCCACAACCAGAAGCCACTTAACTGAGCAGCAAGTGCTGAATCTCCTCGGGGAGCCACAGGATGTAGAGGAAGTGTGGCACCACCACGTCCTGCAATCAGCAGTCAACTGGCCTCACCTTCGGGCATGCCATTCCACAGCCAAGACTCCCCAAGGCCATGATATCCAGCCCCATCTCTAAAACTACAAGAGTGCATACAAAAAGATGTTGCACCATGATAGAGGTCAACCCACTGTTCAGTGTGGACAAAAGCAATTTGGCAAAGCTGGTGAGTGCAGATAAGACTCCAGAGAGACAAAGGCTCAGTTTGTTTTGCTTCTAAATTTGAGCAATTAGTGTCCTATGCAATACTCATCAACTCAATAGCTAGGCAACATTTCTGGAAGAAATATATTTCTAGGAAAGTAGACTATGAAAATGTTTTTAGAATAGTTTGTTTTATTATGAATTCTTTTTAAAGCATTTCTTGATAACAGTATACGAACCTAGTCATCCTTAATATTTATCTAATTAGCTAACATTATTAAAGCAGGAGTTGCATGAAATAGAATCAGAATTTAATATCAGAAGAAAAAAAAAAACACACATGAGACTTGTATCATGACAAATTTCTCCCTGAATGTTTGAAATTGCTCCCACTCTTTCAGGTACACATATCACAGATTCAAGGAACAGGATATTCTCTGAACTTGAGACAAATAAAACTGACTTTTCTTTGTCCTTTCCCCCAATCAGAAGCAATAATTACATCCAGGGTACAACTGATCTTCCCACAGTTGGCTTCCTGAGTGCGTGATTAGCTACAAACCTTCCTACCTAGTGGGATGTGGGAAAATGAAATAGCAGGAAGATGGAGGCTGACATTTTGCTCCTTGGGGAATGAAGTGTGAAACCCATGGGAAGTTGAGAGTACACTCAGAGCTTAGTTCCCATGCCCAAGAAGATAAGTATGTCCCTGAATCTTCTGAAGCAAAATCCTCCATTTGTGTATTATAACCAGGCCTGCGTGGCTTGGGTTAGAAAAGCTGTATTTGGGTTCCTATTACTGGTGATGGGCAAATCTAAACCTAAACCTACTTTGCATCATCGCACCTGAACTACAAGTTACAGCTAAGCTTAAGAACATTTTTTACTTCATTTACTTGTCTGGAAGCAAAATGGTTCTGAAGCTGTTTTGGAAAGACATAAGTATATCTATCTCCATAATGATCTATCTGTCTGTCTGTCTATCTATCTATCTATCTATCTATCTATCTATCTATCTATCTATCTCTTAGTATTCAAAATCTCAACCAAAGAGAAAATGTATATGTGACTTCAAGCAGATGGAGACACCCCCAGCCCCACCCACCTACTGATGTTGCTTCATTGGGAAGACATGCAATGCAGGAGGAGTTCCAAATTTCCACCCTTGGTTGAAAGGGTCTCAAAGTCAGGCACACAAATACAAAGTAAAACATCTTTGCAAGTTATTGTCTGTTCTGAGTGCACAGCTAGGAGAAATGGAAAACAGGCATTTAGCCCTCGACTCCTCCTCCTCCTCCTCCATCTGTCTTCCCCTTTATCTGTTGATTGGCCATGTCACCATGGCATCTAGACTCTCGGCAGGATGAAGTAGTAGAATATGCTTATAAGGATGGAGAAGGCCTGCTTGTCCTTGCTTCGTTTGTGATCTGAGGAGAAAGAATGGCTCCATTGTTTGCAACTCCAACAAACAGAGCAGAAATAATATCCAGGTAGACTAGAAATGAACAGTCAGCTCGTTAAGGTCAGGATAAATCATCGAAGACTAGGCGTCAGACAGTCATGGACCATACAGCATTCATGTGTCCTTCCGATATCACAAGTTCAAACATGTGCTTTTCTTTTTCACCAAACTTTTAATTATGAAATAATTGTAGATATGAATGCATTTGTAAGAAGGAATACAGAAAGACCCTGGATCATTTACTCAGTTTTCCCAATGGTAACAACTTGCAAGATGATAGTACAATATCACAACCAGGATATTGACATTGATGTAATCCATCAACATATGTTGTGCTTTCAAAATCAGTTTAACTGCTTGAAAAAGTAGCAAATCCATAAAAATACCTCAGGCTGGATAAACAGCCTGAAGGGGATGTGTTGTATATTTATGAACAGGCTGCTTTGTCTGGCTGAGGGAAGTGTGGCCGGCGTGGGTAAATCATTGAATCATGGGGTCTATGAACTGATCAAAGTTCTCTCTCACTGACAGCACTTACTGTGGCAGAGGAACTTTTTTGTATTTTGTTTCAATTTAGGATTTCCTAAAAGTAAGATGAGAGAGTGTCCAGAAGGGTATGTACCAATCACAAGGATGCAGAACAGAAAGACGAACCTTTTGACATGAAACTTTAGAGAAGAGAGAAAAGCTTTTATCAAGTAGTGGGAGATGTAGAGGATCAGGAAGGACAGGATGGACAGCAACGCGCTGATGTGGGCACCCCTGCCAGGAACCCTGCTGCCAGCCACTGTGTTTCTCATTTGCCGGGTGTGCCTCCCCAGAGAGAAAATCAAGAGCAGAACAGCAACAAGGAAGATAAGTAATGGCACTAAGAGCTCAGCAACAAAAGAGAAAATCTGTATAGCCTGTTTAACTTCTGTTTGAATTGTGGCATTTTGGAAGAAAAGGTTCCTTAAGAAATACGGGACCATAAACCCTGTATATTTGATATGGAAAATACAAATCATAGATACATATAGCAGAGATCCCAGGATCATCCACGGGACTAACTTGGATATCCTCATCTTCAACCAGATGAAGAGTGGGTGAGGGACGCTGGCAACCTTGGCACAGTAGAAAACGCCGAGCCATGTGGCAAGCCAAAGTTCCAATTCATTTACAAATACGAGAAATGCACAACTCGCAGAACACGTGATGAATTCTATCAAGAAGATAACAACCACATTAATGTAGAAGATGAACAACTGCAGAAAAATTCTAGAAACTGCCAGGCAAGAAAGAAGAAGATCCAGCGGAGCCATTTTTCTGTGCTTGATCAAGTCAATGCCATTCACCACCACAATGATGCCATTTGTGAAAGTCCCAAGAAGAAATTGTATCACTGCAAGAAGAAAATAGATAATCAGGTGTGACTCTAGCATTTTAGGAATAAAAAATTATTTACTTAAAAAATAATGCAGTTATAGAGCTTTGGACCGATTGGGTTATTCACGCTATTCTTCAATTAGATCAGGATTCCTCTGGAGAACAAGATAACAATAAAGGCATGGGGCAGGAAGGTTGTATATATTTGTTTATGTCACTGCTTTCTCAATTTAGTTCTGAGACAGTCAAATAAGGAGGAGATACTCTAGCAACAATTTGCTTCTTATTGATGGCTTTTGCATTTTACAGGTTTACCTAGCTTTCAAAGTCATCACAGGCAAATAATGGAATCAGACACCTTCAGATGGCTGGGAGAACGGCTCCTCCACAGTAATTAGCCAAAGATACTCAATTCTTCATCTCTACTACAAATACTTAATAATATACCTAACCAAGGAGGTGAAAGATCTCTGCAAGGAAAAATACAAAGCACTGCTGAAAGAAATCGTCTATGACACAAACAAATGGAAACACATCCCATACTGCCACTGTGGGGGATGTGGGTGGGGGAGGGGGCTCTCAGGCCAATGGGTATATGTTCCAGAGAGAATCTTGGCTACCTCAGCTGTATCATATAGTTCACCAGGGAAGTGGGGGATAGCCAGTAGCGAGAGGCCTGACCCAGCTCCCACACAGTTGGTGAGGCCAGTCTCACTCCAGCAGTGCCCCCACTCAGACCTTGCCCAAGACCATGAGGTACCCCACTGGGAAAGCAAGCATGACTTTCAGACCTAACCCCTCTCCAACTGCCCACTCCATTGGCAGCAGCTCCTGTGCTTGCTTGCTTATACCTACAGCAGCTCCCACTCACCCCCCAGACTCTGCTCAAGAAAATTTGTACCCAGTCAAGACCATTACCAATTTCTGATGGGAACTTCCTTCACCCTGCAACCCCTCCCCAGTTGCATTGGCTGCCTTCCCCAAGGGACCCTGTGAGATACAGTCAATGATGCCTTCCCTGGACTCCAGCTGGAGACTGGGAGTGCATGCACGGCACTACCCGCTGCTACTTCTACTTTTATATTTGGCACAACTCGCTAAATCCACTTTATCCCCAGGTGGGTTAAATCCTTCTTCTGTGATCTGGATTTTCAGATTCCCCAGCGAGTATGCGTGTCCAAAGGTAGGTTTTCCCCCTATCATGCTTTGCGAACTCACAGTTTGTTGCCTGTTTTGTGGAATTCGCAGCAGCAAGCCACTTCTTTCAAAGGATCTGTGAATTATTTTGGTTTTCCTGGCATGTTCCTGCAGTGGTTCTTGGAGCAAAAGATCATGATGTTAGTCTCCATACACTGTTCTGCCATCCATGCGGAAGATGCACATTAGGCCTTTCTTTTATCTGCCATCTTCCCCTAATCTCCGATCCTAGCTAAATCTTCTGAATTGCTGCAGCTTCTACATAAGCAGTTGCTGCTTTACCTTGTACCTTTATGCTATAGAGAAGGCTTCTTTCCTTAAACCTCATGATCTATCCTCTGCTAACTTCAGACTTTTCTTCTGCAGCTTTTTCACCTCTCTCAGCCTTCATACCATTGACGAGAGTTAGAGCCTTGCTCTAGATTAGGCTTTGGCTTAAGGAAATGTTGTGGCTGGTTTGATTTTGTATCAGAGCCCCAATACTTTCTTCATGTCAGCAATAAGGCTATTTTATTTTCTTATCACTTGAATGTTCACTGGGGTAGCACTTCTAATTTTCTTCAAACAGTTTTCCTTTGCATTCACAACTTAAGCATTTGGCCTATCATGGCTTTCAACATGCCTTTCTCACTAAGATTAACCATTTCTAGTTTTTAATTTAAAATAAGAGACAGGCAACTCTTCCTTTCACTTGAACACTCAAAGGCCACTTTAGGGTTATTAATTGGCCTCATTTTAATATTGTTACAAGTCAGGGAATAGGGAGGCTCAAGGAGAAGGAGTGCAATGGGACAGCCAGGTAGAGGGTCAGTCAGAATGCACACAACATTTGTCTATCAAGTTTGCCATCTTGTTTGGACACAGTTGGTGGTGTCCCCCAAACAATTACAATAGGAACATCAAAGATCATTGATCACAGATCACCATAATGATACAAAAATAATAAAAAAGTTTCAGATAGTGAACGAATTACCAAAATATGACAGAGACATGAAGAGAGCGCACTCTGTTGGAAAAATGACCCTGATAAACTTGCTTGACACCGAATTGGCACAAACCTTCAACTCCTTAAAAAAAAAAAAATCTGTAAAGCACAATAAAGTGAAGTGCAATAAAATAAAATGAGGTACGCTTGTAGGAAAGCCAAGAACTCTCAGAAGAGCAGTTACTGCTAGTTCCTTGGTTTCTCAATCAAGCGTCTATCATTGCACCTGTCCTTTCTATTGCAAATCTTGGTTAACCCACCCGTGCCCTGCAAGACTCCACTCTGTGAAGCAGATTTGTGCTTTCTTCTCATCCTCAGCACTCTTCATTCATTAATTCATTTAGTGTTTAACATGTGGTGGGTTTGTGAAGTATAACCAGACTCAATTATAAAAGGGAGGAAAAGAAAAATAAGTATTACCAGAAGAAAAAAGTAAATATTACCAAGCCACTTTGAAAGACAGTCATTGTTTTCTAGCTCTCTCTTCCTAGAGAACACAGGCCATAATACTAGCATGGAGTTCATCCCTGTTTGCTGTCATATTGCCATGACACTTATGTACTGATCCCGTGGTGTGCGCCTTCAGCAAGGTCCTGGTATTTCAGTATTGCAAAAAAAGTAACAAGAACACTAAAGTGGGGAAGTGAAAAAAAGAAGTTCACATCGTGAGTCTAGGATAGCAATACAGTTTTCAGCACTGACAGAAAACTAGCAGAAATAATGCATATTGCACCAAAGACTTAAAAGAAATAACGAGTCCAATTCTATTTGTTAGCATGTTATTTGGCTTTTGGATTCTAGTATCCTGAGGGGCCATTTGGTTCTCAGATATTCTATTATAACTTTTAACTAACTTGGAGAGCAGAGACAATTCTTCATAGAGAGCTTTATTTTGTGTAGAACAGGTCTTCTGACATGGGAATCCACGGAGTGAAAAATAAAAATTTGTAAGGCTTGTGCTACATTTTTTAAATTACATAATTCCTGTCACTGTCTCTTCCATGAGCACACACAGAGGCTGCCAAAGATTCACCGTTCCTCACTCTCTTGAGACTCACTCTTCTTACCCTGAAGGATGGAAGAATGAGAGATGTCTGTCTGCAGGTGTGCAGCATTCATGTGACTGCTAAACTAATGTCCCCTTTTGCTTCCTGAATGAGCCTCCTTTCAGTGCTGGGGTGGAGACCTCTACGGACATGTTCTCCAGCCTTCCTCTGAGGATTCCACTGCATCAATCAAGCCACAGATATTGGTCATGCTCTTGCACTAAGCAAGAGTGAACTAAATATTTTAACAATCAACACAACAAATACAATTTTTAAAACAATGGTCCTGAGTATAAAATTCTTTTAGGTCTTTAAACAGTTTGCTTAGTAAGAAGGGCACATCAGAGAATTTCTGGCTCTCAGATGAAAAACGTACATGTCTGGCCTCACCTGTCAGTCAGTGGCTCGGAACGTTGACAGTTTTACATGGACAAATGGCTTGGAACAGATGGGACAAGACCTGATGTGGAGAAATTCACATGATTATTACCCCGTATTACCCTGATTAAATCCATTCACTTGCACTCATCTTAATGAGCAATCATTAAAGGAGACAGCACTAAATATTCTTGAGGTAACTGACAGGCGGAAAGAGTTGCTTATTTATATTCAAATCATTTAGCTCCTCAAAAGAAAGTGAGAATTTTTTTCACATGCAGTTAGATTGACGTTGGAAAGCTTTTCATCAGGTAGAAGGCTGTAATGTTCATCTTTCTGCTTTCCTGCAGCACTTGGACATTTGCTTTGGTATTAGAGGCATCCCGAAAGTGAGCGGTGGTTTTAATACCTTTCCCAAGTGGGCCCTCACACTTCATTATCAAGGGAACAATTCCTGCTTTAAGAAACATGTGCATGTATTAACATTGTTGTATATTTAATAAGACCATTCAATAAGAAAGAAATAGACCCTGAGCAAACCAACCCAGACATCCTTTCTGAATCATCCCTGTAGCAGAGCTCGTCCCTTGTAAAGCCTATTTGGAATTTATTTCATTTAAAATTCACAACATCTTGGTTAAAAAGCACCAGATTCTTTCAGGCTAATCATTCTTCAAATCCATTCATTTGTTTCTCTCCACTTGAATTTGCAGTTGATCTTTTAGACTAAATTTTTTGTCTTTAATATTCAGATCACCTTCATATACTTGTCCCTTCCCTTGCTCAATTTATTCTAGTAATATATTTCTGTGCTTTTTCTTACTCCACTCAATATTCTGAGATGTATTTGCATTGCAGCAAATAGAATAATGGAGCAATGCAATACATTGAATTTAAGTCTTCCACATAAAGAACTCAAAGTGCTTTACAAACAAGAATCCCTTGTTAGTTACAATGAGGAAACAGAAGCCACAGATGCCGCAGTTGAATCATGGGAATAGTCTCTAGTCCTCACGATTTTGTCTTCAGCTCTAAACTGAGTTCCTCTGTGGAATTTCAAATCCTTCCTTGCTTCTTCCCTCCCTCCCTCCCTCTCTCTTCCCTTTCTTTCCTTTTTCCTTCTTCACTCCCTTCCTCTTTATCCTTCCTCTCTTCCTCCTTCCCTCCCATACCCCAGCACACACTTATTGTTTGTCTTATGAACTAGGCACTGTTCTAAACACACAGCATTTACAGCCATGCACTGCTTAATCACAGGGATAGGGGATACACTGTGAGAAAGTAATCCATAGACAACTCCATTATTGTGCAAACATCATAGAGTACACTTACACAAACCTAGATGGTATAGCCTGCTACACACCTAGGCTGTATGGTATAGTCTATTATTGCTCCCGGGCTACAAATCTGTATAATACGTTACTGTCCTGAATACTGTAGGCAGTTGTAATACAATGGTAATTATGTATTATTTGTGTAGCTAAACATAGAAAAAGTACAGTAAAAATAGGGTATAAAAGATGAAAAATGTCATATGTGTGTGGGGCAATTACCATGAATGGAGCTTGCAGGACTGGAAGTTGCTCGGGGTAAGTCAGTGAGTGAGAGGTGAGTGAATGTGAAGGCCTAGGACATTACCCTACTATAGACTTTATAAACATCATACCCTTAGGCTACCCTAAATTCATAAAAAATTAAGTAATTGTGTTAGGACATTACAATGGCTTTGATGTCACTAGGTGTTCGGAATTTTTCAACTCCGTTATAATCTTCTGGAACCACCATTGTACACGCAGTCCTCTGTTGGCTTAAATGTTGTTATGTGGTGCGTGACTGTAGTAATGAACAAGACAAAGCTTCTGTCATCTTGGGAATCACGCTGTAGTGGGGAAGAGGAG